TTACAGAAGAATTGCCAGGATTGTTCTGTAGTTATGTCTGAGATGCCATCAGAATGGTAACCAAAAGCCTCTTAATTGTACAAAATCGAAGTTATCACCTGTCTTTCCTCTTTCTAAATTCATTTAACAGAATAAAGCTTTCCCAGATGATTCTTCCCTTTGAAATTTACAAAGTGGTGGCCTGAATTCCATGTATTATTATAATAATACCAGAGGCCCGATGGACAAAATTCGTACAAGAGTAGGCCTTCCTACCCCCTGGCTGCTGGCACTGGCTTCCCTCTGGCACCTGGGACCCAGGCTTCCCTTGCAGCCCCATCCGGAAGGTTGTCTGGAAGGACGTCTGGTCTAATTAGCATATTATGCTTTTATTATTATAGATAAACAATGTAGATGGGTAATAGTAATAATGAGAGCAATAATAATGTCTTTGTTCATTGTTTTGGGCTGTTTAGATTAGGATCTACTTGTTGGGGCCATGTGCACTTGCACCTCACATGTTCATAATGAGTAGTGTTTGCACCTGCTAAGATAGGAAGTTGAAATGAAAGACTATGTACCCTAATGTTTATGATAGATTATTTTGGTTGAATATTCAAACTTGTCTAGCACTGGCTGCAGATTCTGTGCTGAGGTACTTGCCATTATTTATAATAACCCTAACTCTATACAATCATTGAGCCAGGTATATACAATGTCTCTAGAAGCACCCAAAAGGAATCTATACTAATAAAAGGATAATATGCTAATTAGACCGGACATCTTCCAGACATCTTTCGGACATCTTTCCAGACAAAGCCATGGTGGTGGGGGCTGAGGCAGAGGCAGTTAGGGGCAATCAGGCCAGCAGGGGAGGGCAGTTCAAGCCAATCAGGCCAGCAGGGGAGCAGTTAGGGGACGATCAGGCAGGCAAGCAGTTAGGAGCCAGCAGTCCTGGATTGCAAGAGGGATGTCCGACTGCCAGTTTAGGCCCAATCCCTGTGGGCAGTCGGACATCCCCTGAGGGGTGCCGGATTGGAGAGGGTACAGGCTGGGCTGAGGGACCACCCCCATGCATGAATTTTATGCACCCGGCCTCTAGTAGTGAATAAAGGAATAGTGCAGATTCCATAAATAGAATACACCAGGGAAATTAGCAAGTAACACCTGCCTCCCCTCCCCCCCCCCCC